CTTTTTTTAAAAAAAGATGCCTGGGAATGAAGAATTTCTATGTGCAAAATGGATTACATTGTGATATAGTCCTTTCTGAAAAGCATGTGACCCAGGAATGTATGAAGTGTATTATACTGCACAACTATAAATCCAGTAACAGTTACAGGAGCCTTCCTTTTCCTGATGCTTTCCAGATTCAGACTACATTTCCAATATTGCTTGTCTTTGATGAAGGCATTCCCATTCGAGCACATGAAGATCATTAATGCAAATGCCAAAGGGACTAACCAGTTTGTCACAACAGGTGGCAGCACCTACCCAACTTTGTCTGATCTTGAAAGCTAAGCAGGTATAGGTGTCCAGGAAGGTAGCAAGTGTCAAAAATTATTATGAGACAAACTTTGCACTTTATGTTCTAGTGTGTGGCTTCACTACTTTATCATTTTGATGCCATCATGGTTAGATAGGATATCTACACCAACAGATTTGGATCTCATTAGTTATTGTATGGAAAATAATTAGGGAACCCCAAAGCTGTATATTAGATTGGGAAATCTGTCTGTCTGTCTGTCTACCATCCTACCTACCTACCTACCTACCTACCTACCTACCTACCTACCTACCTACCTACCTACCTAGTCTGTCTTCTGGGAGAAGGCAGTAGTACTACTTTCATCTAATCAAGTGGAGTCAATTTTGATTCAAGAGAAAGTCACTGTTGTTAATAACTTTATAATAATAAACATTCTGATTTATGTAATGATGTAATGATGATAATGGATGGAAAAACTGATGGAACTAGCAGAGATGGCTAAATTAAATGCTCTAATCCGGGGTGTTAAACTGGTAGCCCACAGGCCTGATGTGTCACGCACAGGCTAGGACCACGCCAGCTCCGCAAAGGGGAAACAATATCGGAAAACATCATGCAACAGCATCGTGATACAGTGAGTTTGAGACCCGTGCTCTAATCAAAGAAAAGAACACATCCAACTTTGTTTCTATTTGGAAATTGCTTCTGGATCTTGTGTTGAAATGGTGGGGGGAATCAAACTTTTATTTTGGGTTTTGCTGATTAGATAAGCTTGTTGTTATAGAAATGACTAATATATATTAAATATGTAAAAATAAAAAGTTGAGGCTGTAATATTTTATTCCACTACCATAAAAAGAGTCAGAAATCAATACTTCGTTTTTCTTTCTTTTTTCCCCTTTACACTTTTTCCTCCTTTCCCTTCCCCATTTTCTAACTATTTTCATTTGTATTTTATACTGTGATAAGTTTAATTAAATTACTATTAAAATGATAATAATTATCATAATAATAATAGAGAGGGAAGACCTTCTCTGTTTTTAGAAAGCCTACTAGAAAGTGGTAGTTGAACATAGCTTAAAAATAAAAATAAAGTACCTCTCTTTTTAAAACAGATGTTTCATTAGATATATCAGAAACCATCACTGTATCCAAGGTGGAGGGCATCCTCTGAGAAAGGCACCTATTCTGGATGGCAAATTTTAATTCCTCTTTCACCAATGGGGTCAGATTTGCGAAATCTTCAAAGCCCAGGGAAACTGGAGGAGACAGGCATGGAATAATTGCAGAAGCACTGACTTCTGAAGCAGACACCTGGCCCAGGTGCTGGAGCATCATTTTGCTGCATGGGAACAAAAGAGAGAAGAATGAATTTTTCTGAAGTTTGATGAAGCAAATATATATATAGGTTACAGCATGGTTAATACAAAATTCAGAAAACCAGTCACTAAATAATAAGATTCTGGCTCATGACTGGATAGAACAATTATATTCATATGCACAAAAGCATCTATTCATTTATTGTATTTATATAGCTACCCATCTCAGTCTTGTAACTATGAGCAGCTTATGCCCAATGCAAAACCTTAAAAAAAAACCTAGTAAAACCGTATTATAATAAAGCTGAGACTCATTCAATCATGTTGGGCTCAACTAATAAATTAGCCCCAGTACTAAGTGTAAAATGAGCTCTTAAAGGCTTTCCAGAGGGCTAACATGGTTGGGGCTGCCTAGATCTCAGAGGGATGCTATACCATAAGGCAGCCACTACCCACATCATCATTATCACCACCACACAGTTAGTCTTCGACTTATGACAATTTGTTAGTGACCATATTACATCGGCACTGAAAAAAGTGACTTATTATCATTTTTCACACTTGCAATCATTGCGGCTGCCCCACAATCATGTGATCCAAATTCAGAGGCTTGGTAATTGATTCATCTTTATCACAGTTGCTGTGTCTTGGGTCATGTAATCAACATTTTGCGATCTTTTGTCAGATAAAATCAATGAGGAAGCCAGATTCATTTAACAGCCATGTTACTAACTTAACTGCTGTGATTCATTTAACAGCTATGGCAAGAAAGGTTGTAAAATGGGGTGGGGGGGATCACTTAACTATCTCGCTTAGCAACAGAAATTTTGGGCTCAATTGTGGTTGTAGGTTGGAATTAACTGTATTTAATTCAACTAGAAATTGAGGGAATATTTCACAAAACCATCAGGTAGCAATCTTACTAAATGAAAATATTGAGTATAAATAATTTTTAATAATAGCACTGGTTTAGGCATGAATGTTAAACTTGCCACGTGATGTTTTCCCCATATCACATGATGTTTTTCCCATTCCTGGAGCTGTGGTGGGAGTGGCCTACACATGACACATCTGGCCCGCAGGCAGCCAATTTGACATCCCTGGGTTAAGGAATACTGAGCATTGAAAAATGTAAGTGAATGAGTACTTGTGCAATAATTCAAACAACTGATTTCTAATTAATATTCCTGTCTTCTGTTTAGATATACTCCTGTTCAGTAGTTAGAATGTGCACATGAAATTATCTTATACCTATGTTGTCTATGAATTTTAAATACACCAAATCACTGCAGTGAATAGTCAAGTAGTTTGGAGTGAGGTGTTTTTTTAAAAAAACAATGTATGCCTTCCACACATAAAATCAACCATCTTCCTTTTCCTTACTCTTTATTGGGAAATAGATATTTGAGACCTATAAGGGCAGAATTATTTATTTGTCTCCTTAAGTAGGTAAGAAAATCTATATTGCATAGTAAGTACCGTATAATCACAGCAATATTACAATTCACAATAGATAAACCAATTATTGCCTTTAGAATTTATATACACAAGCAAATCCAATAAGCTGTTAAATAAAATTTAGTTCATGCACTATCTTTTGCAATTTCAGGTAATAGTTAGAGTTTGACAAGTCCAATTATGAACAAACATACAGTATTGATTGTTTTATTTAAAGTGGTATGTTAAAGATCAAATTCAAATCAAGTCCAAATTTATTTATGAAATAAAATAAAGACTTGTAGTCTGTATTTACTTCTTTAATGCTCGTATAACGTCCACACAATTTCTAGGCCTTCAAAATACACACGGCCAGAAGCTAACATAGAAAACATCTCCACATACAATTAATTATGTATCTCAACATGTATATGGATACATGCTTTGCTGCTTGAAAAAGACATGTAAGCATTTGACAATAGAGAGTATCTATATTAATCTTTGCACCACTTTGCCCCATTCTGTGTAACAATATAATGGTGTATAGACCTAACTTCAAATAAGAAAAGTAGAAAGTCCAATGGTTTCAGATCTCTTGTTCATCAGAGGAATGATTTCCTGGAATTGTAATTTACATAGATCTTGAGAAAAATATGTAATTTTGCTAAGAAATCCCCTAAACCATGAGTCACAGCTCAAAATCCTGGTACTCCTTAATGATTTCAAGAGACAGAAAATACCAAGCCAACAAAGGTTTACAATCCTCGGGTTTATTATTTAAACCTTCAACTCAGATGGCAATAATAAGCTGCTTCTAGCATTAGTCACAGTTGTTTAAAAAAAACAGTTGATGCATGTGCATCTTTCGTTTATCATAAAGCGCATATAATTCTGGATGGGATATACAGAAAAAGCATATCTGTTTTAGCTTTGTAGGGATAGGAACCTGTCTTATAAAATTCAAAAAACGGATGCTGACAACAAGATTTATTTATTTACTTTCCTATAAAGAATGGGTAACTAACTTTATGCAGGGACGCATGCACGTATGCAGGTCTCATAATTAACTGCGGTTTATAGATGTTTCGTAAGAATGTCATTTCCTGGTGTTTCATTCCTTATATTGCTATTACTGTATTGTTGGGTTCATCACTATTTCTTGGGAGTTTGGGGACTAGCCAGGGTCTCATTACATCAATCTTGTGCTAGAGAAACAGCTGAGAATTCTCCCACTACAACAGCACTTTCGAGAGAATTACTACAACTTCAAGGCTATAGTAATGCCATCCCAACAACCACACTGCATTTGACCACATTCTCAGCTGTGTTTCAGATGGTGGGTTGAAGTCACCAATCTTTTCTCATTAACTAGGTAACCCAAACTAGGCTCTCTCATCTCAAATTTGGTATAGCACCTCCTGAAACAGGGAAGATTTCCAAGATGTATTGAGTCCTGCACATTGACACTGGCCTTTTTGTATGTCTACTACAACTCCAGGTTTTATCATGGATGGTGGAAAGAAAGAAAGGCATTTGATGTACCCCAGAGATGGCATCACCCCAGAGATGGCATTAGGCATAACATGATAGCAGTGTCCCAATATTTAAGGGGCTGCCCTTAAATATTGGGCAGATAAGAGAAGAGGGGGTCATTCCACAAAGAACCTAAAGGCAGGTCAAGGAGCAATGGATAGTAACTAATCAAGGAACCAGAACTAAGGAGAAATTTCCTGACAGTGGAATTAATCAGTTGAATGACTTGCCTTCAGAAGTTGTGTGTGCTCTATTACTGGAGGTTTTCAGGAAGAAACCAGACAGATATTTGCCCAGAATGGTATAGAGTCTCCTGCTTGAGCAGGGGTTTTGACTAAAAGACCTCCAAGGTCTCTCCTAACTCTGTTATTTGGTATTTTGTATGGATAGCAGAGCTGAATGTGCAGTAAGGATACATTCTGGTTCAGGAGTGGGGAATGGCATGCCTCTACAATCAACATGTTAAGAACATTGTGATAAGGAATCAAAGTGACTGGACAATCATTTGTCTGAAATGGTGTAGGGCAGTGTTGGTGAATCTTTTCAGCACCGAGTGCTGAAATGGGAGTGCGCACACGCCTGCAGAAGGATAGCCAGAAACAGGGAGAGAAGCTCCCCGGCATGCACACGCAGGAGCACCAGAAACCGGAAAAGCAGTTCCCCGGTGCGCATGCATGCTGTGGACTACTCTTCTGGTTTCTGGCACTCCTATGCATGCAAAGACCAGCTGGCCAGCGTGCATGTGTATGCCGGAACCTGGAACAGCAACGGGCGACGGTTGGCATGCCCAGAGAGATGGGTCTATGTGTCACTTCCAGCACGCGTGCCATAGGTTCACCATCATGGGCATAGGGTTTCCAGCTTGAGCAGGGGTTGGATTAGAAGACCTATAAGATCTCTCTTCCAATTCTGTTATTCTGAGATAATTATACTATTCAATACTGTTTATACTGAATAAGCAGGGACTGGAGTTTCTTAATTCTGTTTCCAACCTTCATTTTGAACCATCTACCAGGTTTTTTTGGTTTGAATGTCTTCATTGGTAGTACCATTACTTAAACAACTGTCACATACATGACACTCACTCTATAGAACTGTGATGGTGAACCTATGGCACATAGGTTCCGGGTTCCATTGTGCTCATGCGCATCAGCCATCTGCTCTCTTCTGGGTTCCGGCATGCGTATGCTGGAACCCAGAGGAGAGTAGCTGGCTGGCGTGCATGCGCGTGACAAAACCCAGAAGAACAACTGGCTGCCACGCACATGTGCACCAGCCAACTGCTCTCTTCCGGGTTCCAGCACATACGCCCCAGGTTCAGCACTCAGTGCTGAAAAGGTTAACCATCACTGCTATAGATTATAGAAATATCCAAACCAATACAGAACCTTATACTGTATCTGTCAAAGAAGTTACAGAAACAAACAGTACACTTTTATTATACCAGGAATCTGGATATTTCCTAACTTTTGCAAGGCAATTGCAATCACACAAATACATTGAATAATTATTTACAGCCATGCCATAGTTTTACTTCCAAATTATTGTAAGTATATCTGATATGCCAAACCTATATTTTGAAATGTTAAAAGGCCCTAATATCTTTGTCAATTGCCTCCCCCACTTTAAACAAAGTTGGGGAGGGAAGCATTAGCATTTAAAGTAAAATTTTAATGGACAAGTCATTAGGGAATTTAGGCCACCTATCTATATTGGTCAGGTTGGTAGAAACTGTAGATCAACACATATGAAGGAGTTCAAATTAAGGAAGCCTAAATGATTCAAAGATTGTTAACTCTGTACATCAAAAGGTCTTCACTTTGTCTTCATCACTTTATGTCTTCTAATAAAAGAAATGAAATCAGTTTTGGGAATTAGGCATATCAAAGGGCCTACTCTGTCACATCACTGCTTTAGAATCAGCCCCATGACAAATTGGTTTATTTATTTATTTGTTGTTATTTATATTTATTCAATGTATAGACTGCCTGATCAATTGTGACTCTGAGCAGCCTACAATATATAAAATTTAAAACAATGCAGCCCACACAATAGGAGAACATCCAGAAAAACCAATATAATCCTACAAATAAAACAAACAACAGGGTAGGATGTCATTTCAGGGGTTAGGTATTATGGGGAGGGGGGAATAAGGAATGTTTATTTCTCTCCTATAGCAATAGAAAATCCTTTGTCTCTCATTTCTTTCAGTCTGAGTCAATTAACTCAGACTTTTAACAGTGTTCAACAAAGACACTCTTGAGTTTTCTCGAAAGCCAATCAAATAATAGTCGCACGTGGGCATTCTGATGCAAAAGTTATTATGTTTCTGAAACTGTGTTCAGGAGTTACAGTTAAGTGAATTTTATATACATGAAAACAACATCACTTTCCAGGCATACACCATGGAACCAACATGATGTAACCATGTGCAAGGAGGCGGCAGCACAAGTTCTGGGTAAAGTGCAATGTTTGCAGAAGGAACAAATGTTAAGGAAAAGAGGGAAAGAGAAACTCTTAACAGCTCAGTGAGAATTGGATTGGCTCCATGACCATGGAATGATGGGGAGGGAAGGAGGCCAGGAGGTAGAAAACTGGGTGGAGAGATGGAATGGAATATCTTTTAAAAGGTGTGGCTGGGGACTATATATAATATAATGTTTGTTAACTTTGAAAACTGTGGCTGGGGACTCGTGGGAGTTGAAGCCCACATTGCTTAAAGTTGTTAAACACTGCTACAATCGTTATTTGTATTAGGTCCCATTTCTGTTCTATTTTAATATTAAATAGAATATTATTAATTAAATTTAAATCTCATTTTACTAAAACCCGCAAAGTTGTTTATTCTCTTCCATTCTCAGAAGCTTTAAAAGCTGGATCACATTTAGCTAACATGGTTGGCATTCAGACCTTTAAGGTAAGCCACCTGACCTGATTCTTCACCCTTTTTTTTATCAAAACTAAATACTGTTCTTAATTAAAAATGTAGCTTTAGCTTTTTCCCTGAATATCTTCCTTCTCCTTATTGATGCCATACGACCTGTGAAGCAAATGATAAACTTTAACAATTATAAACATAATTAAAATTTATAATCACCCTGAATTTATTTTGACCTTTTAAGACATTTACACTGCAATCTGGTCACATTTAACCAGTGTTTTGAACATTACTACTTGTTGAAATGGTGAAATGTGATTGATATGACACCAGAAACTGGTCACTGTGATTATTTTTCACAAGTGTCCTTATTTAATCCTGCTTAGGTTGGAAAGTTGGAGAAAAGTATAGCATTTTCTTCAATAAAGTACTGTTATATATGTGAAAACAGGTATAACCCTTCAATCATATTTTTGACTAACCATCATTTGCTCCATGTACAGCAGTTTATTTTGCTGCTAATAACATTTTTACAATGAATTTTGGAGAAATTCTATGTGGACATTTACTTGAGAATAATCCCTACTGAACTGATTTGGAATTTTGAATAAATGTGTTCTGATATTTCATTTATTATTTTACTTATATATTTTTATTTATTGCCTTTTTAAAAGTATATGTTTATGCATATATATATATATATATATGTATATGTATATGTATATGTATATGTATATGTATATGTATATGTATATGTA